GGATGATAGGTCCTCAAAATTGCTCAAATCATAATCTTTCCCTGCAAAACACTAAGTCTTCAAAATCTTGTTCAAATCACAAGTACAAAATCTCGTCATGTTAACACCACACCTCTGATAAAATCCACTTATCAATCCTCTTCAATAGGATGATAAGTCCACAAAGTTGCTCTCATCGCAATGCAGTCTTATCACGTTAATATCACACCTCTGACAAAATCCACTTATCAATCCTCTTTAATAGGATGATAAGTCCACAAAGTTGCTCTCATCACAATGCAATCTTGTCACGTTAATATAACACCTCTGACAAAATCCACTTATCAATCCTCTTTAATAGGATGATAAGTCCACAAAGTTGCTCCGATCGTAATAAATTCCTGTCATGTTAATACCAAACCACTAAGAAAATCCACTTATCAATCCTCTTCAATAGGATGATAAGTCCACAAAATTGCTCTCATCGCAACACAATCTTGTCATGTTAATATCACACCTCTGACAAAATCCACTTATCAATCCTCTTCAATATAATGATAAGTCCACAAAGTTGCTCCGATCGTAATAAATTCCCGTCATGTTAACACCAAACCTCTAACAATTAACTTATCGTCTCTCTTCAATAGAGCGATAGGTCCACAATCTTATCACGTTAACAAAACACCTCTGACAATCAACTTATCGACTCTCTTCAATAGAGCGATAGGTCCACATATCCGTCAAGTTAATAACATACCTCTGACGACCAAATCAACTTATCGACTCTCTTCATTAGAGCGATAGGTCTACAAACCCTTCAAGATAACACCAAATTAACTTATCGTCTCTCTTCAATAGGATGATAAGTCCACAAAGTTGCTCCGATCGTAACAAATTCCTGTCACGTTAATATCACACCTCTGACAGATCAACTTATCAATCCTCTTCAATAGGATGATAAGTCTATAAAGTTGCTCCGATCGTAACAAATTCCCGTCATGTTAACACCAAACCTCTGATAATTAACTTATCATCTCTCTTTAATAGAACGATAGGTCCGCAATCTTGTCACGTTAACAAAATACCTCTGATGACCCGATCAACTTATCGACTCTTTTCAATAGAGCAATAGGTCCACAATCTTGTCACGTTAACAAAATACCTCTGACAATCAACTTATCGACTCTCTTTAATAGAACGATAGTTCCACATACCCGTCAAGTTAATAACACACATTTGATGACCAAATCAACTTATCGACTCTCTTCAATAGAGCGATATGCCTATAAAATACTGTTAGGTTAACATCACACCTCTAACAGTCAAACCTCCCCAATGAACTTATTAATCATTTTTCAACAAGAATAGTAAGGTTTCATTATAAAATCCCTAGTGGATTAAAGATTTTCTGGAATTATCCTAGTGATAATGAAGAAAATTTATGAATTTCACTCTAAATGAAAATTCATGCCAAGTTAATACTACACCTCTGGTACTTCCAACTTTCTTTTAGTGTTTTAAGTAAAAATATAACACAGGAAGAAATAGTAACAAAGTCTATGTATTCAATATTATAGTCAGTGATTATCATTAAATTAATAATCTCTGAATCCATACCTCGCATGTATGAGAAATTTTATCCCGAATCCTAAGTAGGGATAAGTTAATACCGAATACGTGTTGCCGGTTAGTCTTTGACCATAAAAAGGACAAAAGCCCATGTATTCAACATCATGGCAGGTCGTTATTAATAACGCCAAAATCCATACCTTACAGGCATGAGGGATTTTATCTTGATCCCTAATTAGAGATAAGTCTGCAGCTAACACGTGCTGCCGGGTAGCGTATTCTCGTGAAAATAGCAAAGCTCACGTATTCAACATTGTGGAAGGTCGTTATTAATAACGCCAAAATCCATACCTTACACAATGGGGGACTTTATCTCGATCCCTAATTAGAGATAAGTCTACGCCTAATACGCGTTGCCGGTTAGTCTTTTCCCGTAAAAATAACAAAGTCTATGTATTCAAAATCATAGCATCAAGTCTAAGAGGGTTCATTCTCTTAGCACAGTATTACATATAAATTCAAATAATTCACATGCTAGCCCAACTCAAACAGTAGTTAGTAAATGTTTATTAAATCTGTTAATAGCTGAGGGTTTGCCAAAAATCCTATGCAAGTTTGCAAGCCCATCAGCTTAATGGATGTGAGCCGAGACTTGAAATAAATGAGCTAAAGACAAGTCTCAAAGACTTAGTAAAAAAAACATGAAAGCCACCTCCGTGTCTCAAGTCAAAACGGCAAGGTCAGACCCGCGTTGCAAAAACCACAACGCCGATGTCACACCCGGGTTCCAAATTTAAAACATAAGGGTGAGACCCGTGTCTCAAGTTCAAAACGTAGGGGTCCACCCCCACATTCCAGAAGCAGGATTATAACGCATACCTTCATAAAGGTCCTACGTGACAAATCCCTTCAACCAAAATGCCTTTGAAGCGGGTGCAGAGAACAACTCCTTTGTGACAAGGAATCAACAGCTCCAAGATCAGAGTTGAGGTCCAAATTATTCCAAAAATTCATCCCAGTCAATTACGAACTTTCGAAAACTTTGGAGGGGGTTATGTAGGCTGTCTAAAATTACTACAGATAGATTATCCTCATCAAACACCGATGATGGAGGTTACAATCTGACGATTTCCAGAAAGTTATAATTTGAAGACTTTTACGTAGATCGATGAAGTTTACAATCTGACGACCTTCACAATAACTGATGAAAGCTCTAATCAACAGCCTTCACAATCAGCATCAGGAGTTACAATCTGATGACTCTCATATTTTCAAGGAGTTAAGACGAAGGTTACAAGATGATGATCTTTGTAACGCTCTGGCAAAAGAGACTATAAATTGACGGTCTCTTCAAATCAAGACGCAGAGCTCACCTCTGCGTCTCAAACTCAAAACGCAGAGGTCCTCCCTGTATCACAACCTCAAAACGCAGAGGTCCTCCCTGTGTTGTAACATCAAAACACAGAGGTCATTCCTGTGTTACAATATCAAAACACATGGTTCATCCCCTGCGTTGCAACGTTAAAACGCAGAGCGACCTGTGCGTTCTCAGCCACCAAAATAGGCTTAACTCTGCGTTGCAACGTCAAAATGCAAAGCGACTTGTGCGTTCTTAGCCACCAAAATAGGCTCAACTCTGCGTTGCAACATCAAAAAGCAGAGCGACCTGTGCGTTTTCAGCCACCAAAATAGGCACAACTCTGTGTTTCAAGTCTAAAACGCAGAGTTCGGACCCAGAACGCCATTTTCGGCATTTGACTCGTTCAAGCTCGAGCTGAACGGTTCCAGAAACCGTTTTCCCCACGATTGGAGGGATTTCCGCCCCACTTAGGAGCAGATTAAGGGGACAGTTACACCCCTTAACCCCCTATAAATATGGGTAAACTCAACTGAGTTCGGGTCTTTCTTTTGGGATCACTGGCTTTTTGGGGGAATTGCTGGAATTCTTAGAAATCGGCACAAGACTTCTTGACAGAAGAAGGATCTCGACAATCTTCAGATCCTCGAAGTTGTTCTTAGAGCTTTCATCAAACTTGGCTTACAAACCGATTTTCGGTTAAATTAATCAACTCTTCCATAGAGTTATAACTCGCTCAGAGTTCCCTAACTCGTTAAGAGTTTCAAACTTGCTCTGCAAGTTCTTCTAAACTCGTTCAGAGTTCTAAAACTTGCTTTGTAAGTTCTCCACAGCGTTAAATCGTGAGGAGAATATATCGTTCCAGTGAAGCGAAACGTCGGATCGTCAACGGAAAGCAAGCTCGACGTGAGCATTCGAGGGAGACATTCCATCGCCACCGTGAAGAACCCAGACTTAAACAAAGGGAAGGATCTGCGTCGATCTTCTTCTCTTTTGTAATCTGGAAATCTAAATTGTATTCGAGATTGAGAGAGTTGTAAACATTCTTTCTCTAAATCAGTTAGAGGGAATAAAACATTCAATTCTTTCATTATCTTATTACAAATTTTCCACCAAACAACAATTAACTAAAATTTTGTATTTTTGAATATCCCATCATCTTCGCGTCCATTACAGATCTCAAACTCGACTTTTTTGTTTCTTTCTTTTTCCTCCCTTCACTAATTAGTTGACTCTTGTTTTAGTATGAGTGCACCCTCTTTCTTATTTTTCTTTCAGAAAAACTGATTGTTATTGATATGAATTCCTATTGTTCTCGTTTTCTATTGTTCTTAAAGATATTCCCTATGGTACCGTTTGGCAAAGGGTTAAGAGATGGGTTAAGGAGACTTAACACCTTCTTAACCTGCCAAACACAACAAATCTATATAAGGGTTAAAGTGAGTTAACCCTCCATAATTTGCCAAACATAAAAATTATAGAAGGGTTAAGTTAACCCCTCTAGAGGGGTTAAAATGAGTTAACCCCTCAAAATGAGGGGTTTACTAATACTCCTATTTAGATGGAATAAGAGTTAACCCTTCTAATTATAAAGAAAATAGTCAAAATCATTGTTATTCCCAAACACTAAAACTGATCATAAGGGCTAAAATAAAACTTATTTAACGGGTTAATAATTTAGTCATTCGGATTATCAAATGAGCTAAGTACATTAATCCTTCTCTTTAACCCCTCTTCATTAACCCTTTGCCAAACGGGGCCTATAAGTTTGGCAAAAAAGTTAACTCTCTCATATTATCATTTCTATATTCTTGATAATTATAATTTATCTAGAGCACTAAATTACTCAAACATTAATGATATTATTAAGTAGTTTATTTCGATTTCATAGTTTTTTTTTCCCGGTAATCCAAAAATGTAAAAATCTTTATGTTAATATAATCTATGAAGTTTATTTACGTGCCCTAATCGACACAAAAAACCGGAAGATTTAAAATTGGTGACGTGTCCTGTGAAGTACCTTTCTCACTGTCTTATCTTGTCCACGTAGTCACTATCGAGAACAAGTACGCATCCAAAATCCCTGCTATCTTCAACATTCCTTAATTATTATTGTTATCTCCTTGATTTGCTTGGATTTCAATCTTCAGGGAGAGAGCATGGCCACCGTGTTGGTTGCTACTCAATGTCGCTGGGGCGCTCCTCACCGCTCATCTCCTCGCAGAAGATTCTTCTACCCCTCGAAGTAATCATCCTTCTGCTCCCTTTGTTCTGCAACTGTGTTTAAAACGTGAGCATATTTTTTATTGTCTTTAGAGGGCAACTTCAAATTAACTTGTTGGTTCTTTGAGGCATTGCAGCAAACGCCTCAAGCGCACACCCACAAATGTGATATAGTTTTTGTTTATGTGGAGTTCTCGGCCAAGCCAAGAATAAAACTAGCCCATCAGGTAACTGAAGGGTCTGGGGCATTTTTTTTGGTTAAAAAAGTTATAACTCTACAGCCCTCATCGCAACTTTGGACCTTAAATTCTTGGCCGGTGGGATTTCAACCCGGGTTGCTCGGTTACCATGTTAGAAGCCCCTTTTACTGCACAAATATTCTGAAATTCTGATGTGGGCTGTGGAATTAGGAATTCTATAACCTAACATTCCCAACGGATGAGCACCATTTTCATCGGCTGAAACATCAAATCCGCTTTAAATGTGTGGCGGGTGGGATTTGAACCTTAGTTGCCTAAATATCCCTTTCAGAACACCCAAACTCTGAAGTTTAGATGAGGGTTGAGGGTTATAGTTTTATACTCTACCTTCATCGCAAATCGGCATGTAGGAATGTTGTTAGTCATCTCAATCAATATGATATTATAAACATTCACGTAAATTGAAGATGCCTAGGTTTGTATAAGGAACGAGTAAGAATCCTCTCAAAAGTAATGTTTCTGACAACTTAGTGCCAACGTACTTAATGATTTTGCAAGCTGTGCAATAGAGAGTTATTTATAGTAGAGTAATAAGCCGACACGAATCAACTTGCTAATGTTTAGCCTCTTTGTTACCACTATTTCATACTAAACTATATTTCTTTTGTATCAACCTGATGTATCGCTGATTTAGTCATTTTTCTCTCTACTTTTCTGTATCTTCTGATTATCATTGATTTATTATGTTATCATCATAGGAATCAGCAGAAGTTATTAACTTCATCCGCTCTGAGAGAACCTAAAGTTCTTGCAAAGGATCTCACACTAAGCATAGATCCAACGACAGAGGAAAAAGATGTCTCCGAGGCTAAGTTGCTCCAAGAATTTACTAACATCCCTAACATTGATAAGGCGTGGATTGTTAAATCAGATAGTGGTATGAGAACTTTGGTAGTCTATAAGATTTTAATAAATTACTTGATAGTTGATAGTTAGTAACTTCTTTGAATTTTGTTCATTCTTTTAACTGCAGAAAACAGCTCCCATGCAATGTTCTTGATTAATCAAGTAAATCTACTGGCAAACAAAAACAGGACATTTATACTATCATCCAATATTTCAAAAAGCACAGACAGTGTGAGCTTTCAATGGTCTCCTTTTCCAGTTGAGATACAAGGCGCATCTGCAATTGTTCCATCACCATCAGGTTCCAAGCTTCTTGTAGTTCGGAATAAAGGACAAGAATCATCAACTGAGCTTGAAATTTGGGGCCCTTCTTGTTTGGAGAAGGAGATACACATTCAAAAATTAGTTCATGGTTCATTGTACACTGACAGATGGTAACCTATTAATGTTGAAGATTCTTTTAACTTTTGAGCTGTTGGTTGAAATTTGGAAATTTCTGAATTTACACGTTTTAAAGGTTTGAGGGTATTTCATGGAATCATGAAGAATCTCAAATTGCCTATATCGCGGAAGAACCTTGTCCATCTAAGCCAACATTTGGTAGTTCAGTGTACAAGAAAGAAGATTCTTCTAGTAAGAGTTCAGTTAGCTGGAAAGGTCAAGGGGAATGGGAAGAGGATTGGGGTGAAACCTATACTGGAAAAAGAAAGCCTGCCCTCTTCGTTGTCGACATTAATAGGTCTATTCTCAGCTTTGTACATGAATTCTGTTCTGATTTGGTTTTTCCATCTAAATTTCTTTTAAGGTTAATTTCACAAATCCAACATTTTTTGGGTTTTTTTGTTTATGTCACATAGCCTCCCTGAACTTTGGGGTGTCCAATTAGAGGGAGCAGGATATGTTGTCCACAAATGACAAGTGGCTAAACTTGGGGTTTTTTCTCTCTCAAGGAAACTATTAATTTTGACAATTACAGGTTTTGGAGGTGGGCGGGGGTTCGCTGAGAAAAGATTAATTCAGGGCGTCCCAAAAAGTTCAGGCGGTTTTTTAAAATCAATTAACCTTTTCTTTTATTATTACAGTGGAGAAGTCCGGATGGCTGAGGGAATCCCAAGGTCATTAAGTGTTGGGCAAGTAGTATGGGCTCCGTTATCTGCTCAGAGTTCTCAAAACTACTTAGTTTTTGTTGGATGGTCAGAAATTGGTCCCTGCAATGTGACAAGAAAGCTTGGTATGAAAGTTTGTTACAATAGGCCATGCTCCTTGTATGCAGTCAGGTCTCCTTTTCATGGATCAGTTGGAACTGAGCTAAGGTTCAAGTGTGTTCTCTCTTGTTCTCAATGAGTTTCCGGTTGCAACTTTCTATTATCTGACAGCATCTTGTCCTTTATGACTTCTGTTTACATTAGCACTTGATGATAATATTTGTTCCTTTATTTGTGTTTCAGTGAAACTGAAAATTCAGCTTCTGCAGTCAATTTGATTCCTGGCATGAGTAGTGCTTTCTTTCCCCGTTTTAGGTACGCATGTTTGATCAATTTAATGATTATCTGTGTATAATTCCCTCCCTCTGTCCCTCCCTCCTCTTCTTTGCCTTTTGAGAAATTATGAAAGACCCTACCTTGTTCAGGATTTAACTTCTGTAATAACAACAAGAAGAAGAACAAAGTCGTTATGCCAAAATTTTGGGTCTCTACATGAATCCAATCATTCAATTCTATTATGGGCAGTCTGCTCCGCTGGTTTAACTATTAACTGTTCTTATATCCTTCTTAATTGTTTCTATCTTTCAGGTCCACACACACACACACACACACACTCTCTCTCTCTCTCTCTAGTTTCTTTGTCCCATTAACTATTACACTTCTCCTAACTTGTGCATTTAGTGGCCTCCATTGTATCATCTCAATCGATTCTCTCTCATTTAATCCTCAATAGGAGAAACCTCTACTCTCCATGTAGTGCGCTCATTTCTTTACCCAATTTTTGGTGATATCCATTAGAACATCGTTATATTCTCAATTCTGCTATACTCATTCTTTGCGCCTCTATCTAGAGGCTTAATGATTGGTTGATTGCTTGTCCTAATATTTTGTGAGATTGTGAGCACATTCCAGAAGTGTTGACAACATATACTTGAGAGGTTCCAATGAATGTCCTTCCCGTTCGTGTCTGACAAAGGGACAGCATCAAACTAGAAGTTCTTTCACGAAGTTCCCTGAAATTTTCAATAAATACATTACTGTTGCTATTATTTTATTATTGCTGTTATTCTGACCTTGTTGTCGCGATACTCTTGATAGAAGTGATTAAGTAACAGTGGTATTGATGGTATATCCTTATTCTGAAGTATAAAACCATTACATAGAAATTCTAACTGGAATAAGGACACATTTTTATTTAGCCCAGATGGCAAGTTTCTTGTATTTTTATCTGCAATAACTGCTGTGGATACTGGAGCACACGCGGTCACAAAATCACTGCACAGACTTGATTGGAGAGTTGATGGGAAACCTTGTCCATCAAGAAATATAATTGAAGTGGTAATCCCTTCTATTCCTTTTACATGAAATACATTCTTTTATAATATATAGTACTAACTTTATAACTGCATTGAGGCTCCTTTCTTTCAATAAACAAATTATGCATGTATAATTTGTTACTCCTACAAAATCTTGCACTATCATGAGCAGTAAATTATATCCAAGTTATGGTTAGAGCGAAAGGGGTTCCTCTGAAGCATTACTGTGGCTAAGGCAATTGCAGTTTGTCTAAATGTTCCTTGGTTGATCAAATAAAGAATAGGCTTTATTTATTGTACTCTATAGCTTATGATAAAAGATGGTGACCGGTCTTCTATGATCTTGATAAGAGGCAAGTGTTCCATGTGGATAGTGAATTCTGGAAAGCTATGTAGCACGGACACGGATCCGACACGGCCATCCGACACGCCGACACGAGGCAAATCCTAAAAAATACATAGGATGTTGGATAGAGAATTCCTAATCTATTTTGGTAACATGAGGTTATTAGGATTCCTAGTCTATTTTGGTAACATGAGGTTATTAGGATTCCTAATCTATTTTGGTAATAGGTTATTAGGATTCCTAATTTGATTTGGTTTTGGTTTAGAATTCCTAGTATGTTTATGATTTTAGGATTTCTATATATATGGAACAATTGGAAGAGAAAATTGGTGGAGAAAAAAAATTGGGGATATTTAGAGCACAGAAAAGAGGTATTTTCTGAGCTATTTGTTTAGGGTTTTGTTTGGAGAGATTAAGAGCTTGTTGGTGAGATTAGTTTGTTCCTTCGAGTGATTTGTAATCTCAGTTTGTACTCTTTCTCTATTAGTGAAAACCCTATCCCCTTCTTGCCCCGTGGACGTAGGCAATTGCCGAACCACGTAAAACTATTGTGTTTGGATTTGTGCCGTTGTTTTGATTTGTTTGGCCTTTATCTCGACGTTTGTTTGATTTGGTTCTCGAAGCACGCCCGTTTGGTTGTCACGCTTCCGCGACGTGCACAACATAGGATATGTGTGTTCGACACGTGTGTCCGACACGGACATGATACGACACGACTTCATGTTATGCGTGTCCGTGCTTCATAGCTGGAAAGAACACTATTTTGTGGTTAGTTGTTGGTTTAATTTGGTGCATCAGAAAAATAATGTTAGGCATAGAAGAATGCTAAAATAGAGATTATGGATATGTCTGTGAGAGAGATCTATCATTTGGATGTGTGGATGATGAAGGAGAGTGGTTCAATATGGGCAATAAGTATTTGGGACTTGTGATGGAACAATGTATTGCGTTTTAGGTATTTTGGGCATTTGAACAAGTCTTTTTCTGTAGAAAGTTTTACATGGAGTAAATTACTTTCTTAAAGAACATGGAGATAATCCTCAAGTTGACATTTGAGATTTTTGGGCAAATGCATTTTCCATGTCATTTGTTTCATATTTCTAGTTAAAAAAGGTTAGGCCTGTCTTCCTTTCATGTACCAATTTCCAATCTGCTCAACCAGTGCCTTGTGGAAATGAATATTTGGTCCATAATTAGCATATGTTAATTTTTACATCTTAATATAATGATATTGAAGATTCTTCTTCTACTTCATGAAATCCCCTTTCAACAGATTCTGCTTTGTTATATCTGCATAGTGTATGCTTAAAATCTCAAACAATTTTTAGGTCCCTGTGGTGATGTGTCCTAAAGATGATGGCTTCCCTGGGATCTATAATTCAAGCCTCCTCAATGATCCATGGCTTCCTGACGGACATACAATGATATTGTCATCAGCGTGGGGCAGCATCCAAGTAATACTTTCAATAAACATCTTGAGGTAATAAGGAACAGAATTATTTTGTAAAATGATATCTTAACTTGATATTTTTCCAACTTAAGTAGTTTAAGTGTGTTGGTGTACAGTGGGAGTGTTTCTCGAATCACGCCCTCTAACTCAAACTCTTCGTGGAATCTTCTTGACCTTGATGGGAACAACATTCTTGCTGGTAAGGCTATGAAAGAGTGCCTTTGAGAAAGGAAACTATCGAAATAAATTTCTTATATCTTTTCATTTTAAAAGTATCCAGCACTCCTATACACCTGCCACAGATTAAGTATGGATATCAGTATGATAGAATGGAAAAGGAGAACTCGTGGCATTGGATATCTGTTTCTACTCCATTTATGGGATACTCAGAAAAGGTTACAAACATTTCACAAGGATTTCATTTACATGTTCCTTTCATTAGCGTCTGATTATTTTCTTCACTTTCTGTTTTATTTAATTTTTTCCTTTTCTTATGGGACAGATCAAATCGTTGCTTTCGTCACAATTGTTTAGCATACTAAAGATTCCAGTTAAAAGTACTTCTGAAAACCTTCCAGAAGGTAGAACCCGTGCAATTGCTTGCTTTTAATTATGTTGAAACAATGCAATGTTTGGCTACATTATTACTTTCAGCTGCTCTCATGGTTCCCTTACCGATATCATTACACGTTGCACTTTAAGAGAAAGTTCCTCCATATCATCCTTAGAAATTCATATTTATTAATTCTATTGCAATAGTATATGAGTTTAATAGATGAAATATCGCAGTTTAGAATCTCATAGAATAACAAAAATAATGGCGGCCTATTAATTATACTGATATGAAGGTTGAGTAATAAATCTAGTGTAGTGCTAAATGCCTGATTCTTGCAGGTGCTAAGAAGACTTTTGAATCTATTTTTCTATATTCTCATTCAGAAGAATCTGGTTCCACGCATCAAAATAATTGCCGCCCATTAATTATACTGATTCATGGTGGTCCACATTCAGTCACATTATCAAGCTATTCGAAACAAGCATCATTTCTATCTTCATTGGGGTACAATTTGCTTCTAGTTAATTATAGGTAAGCTATTTCAGTATTTGTTAACATTTGTTTGCTTCATGTTAAAATTTTTGTTAGATTGAGTTGCATTATCACTTTTCTACATTGCCAGTAGTTATGAAATAGGCTAGAAACTTGTATCGAGCTCAATGGATTTGTATTTGCATTTATTCTAGATGATTGATCTCATTTATCTTGTATTTGAATGGTCAACCAGGCTGTTTCTCTAAGCAATGCACTATGCCTTGGATGATTTTGCTGAACATTTTCGTAATATTTATTAAAAATCTTCCAACGTTTGTCAGTATAGTTTATTTTTCAAGTAGTTATTCAAAATCCTTTTTGTTTAAAATTATGTGATTCATTTTATCTAACTGGGAAACAAAACTGAACTGGTTGGTATTATTTAATATGTCCAAGTTTTGATAAAAGCCACAACAGAAGTCCTTTCTTGTAAGGTTTTATTAGCCTATTTTTCTGAAATTCCAAAATATATAGCGGTTATCCTTTTTTCCTTTTAATTCAAAAGTTCATGACATTGTGGCTTCATTTCTATATAAAAAAGCATCCTTCATTTATCTTTCAGAGGATCAGTTGGGTTTGGAGAGGAATCCCTACAATCTCTTCCAGGAAATATCGGATGCCAGGTACTGGAATTTAAATCCAGTTGAAAGTTTCATCTGGCGAAACTATTTAATAAATCTCTTCTACAAAAAAAGAGAGAGAGAGAGAGAGAGAAAAAAAATCTATGAAACATTATGATGCTAGCGCCTCTACATAACATGAGCAGGATGTAAATGATGTACTAGCAGCACTGGACTATGTCATCGACAAGGGACTTGCAGATGGGTCTAAAGTAGCTCTATATGGAAGTTCACATGGAGGCTTCTTGACAGCCCATTTGGTTGGACAGGTACTCTATAATACCAGTTGCATTGCTTGTGCACTTTCAATGGCACTTAATCAGTTCTATAAATAACTTTTAGGGTGTGTTTGACAAAATATCAAAAACTGGGTCAGGATCAGTCCTGGCCCAGTTTCATTCTAAACTGGTTTTAGTTTGGACCAGGAGAAGGCTGGTCCAAACTAAAACCAGTTTAGGGGGCTTTTTTGGCTTACAAAAACTAGACTAACATTGGCTCAATTTTTTTATCAAACAGAAAAGCACCTAAATCTGGGCTAGTTTTAGTCCTAGCCCAAATTTGGAGGTTTGCCAAACACACCCTTAGTTAAACAAGGACCTGTATCTCCTCGACTATTGATTAATTAATCAGAATTTTCTGTATATCAGGAATCATTATTGCCATCATCATTTTTTACTTTATCATTATGTGACACGTCTACTAGCTCTCTCTGAGTGATGCCTTTGTACTTGATCTGATTTATATACCATTTTAGGTCCTTGCTTCCTGTTCATTTAGGTCTTTTCCTACTGTTAACCGCTTCTTCAACTTCCCTTTTATTACTGCTACCACATTTATGAGTTAATAGGATCATGGTAGGACGGCATTAAATGAAAATACATATCAACTTGTTCAAAAACACATGTAAGTACATTTAAAAATACATATGTTCCTTATAAACACATACATAAAAATCAAAATGAATACATATGTTTGTTTGTAGAAATGGATGTAATGGTTGTATTTACAAAAATAAAACCGCCCTCTCATCTTGTAGTTTATAGAACCTAAAGAGATCTCTAAACAATATTTAGATAACGTGCCTTACTGATTGGCATATCTGTGCTTTTCTTTTCTTTTCTTTTCTTCTTTTTCCTCGTGCAGGCACCGCATAGGTTTACTGTGGCAGCTGTACGAAACCCTGTCTGCAACCTTTCACTGATGGTGGCCACAACAGATATTCCTGACTGGTGTTATGTCTTGACCTTCGGAAAAGATGGAAAGAAATATTTTACTGATGCACCTTCAACCGATCATCTGTCTATGTTCTATAAAATGTCTCCTATTTCGCATCTCTCAAAGGTACAAATTGCTTCCCATTTGTGATATACTACAGTCTGCTCCTTGTATAAGAGATAAACGTGTCCAGCTCATCGTATTATCCTTCATATATGTGTAAATATCACTCGTATGGCATTATCTAGGAGTTGTATAACTTATGCAAGGATGTTGATGTTAGTCAAGTTTGAAGCACATCTAACATATATTGGGTCACTGTTATTAGAATATAACTTACCACAATTGGCAACTATGAATTTGTGGAAGAATAGACTATGCTAAATAGTAATAATTATCGATAGAGCTAGTGTTTCCAGTTAAAATAATAATTTTGTGTTGAACTACAATGCAACTGGTCACGGTTGAAGTTCTTAAGTTTTGGGCAGAAATTGGAAGAACTCTAACTTTGGCGGATGCCTTCGCACCCATTAACCTGCTTTAGTGCTATAGGTCCTTTAACCCGCTCTAGTGGGTTAATAGGCCATAACAGCCCCTTTAGACCTTTGACTTCTATCTCGGTCAGCAATGGATAAAATATAGCAGGTTAATATGCCTCTAAAACTATAGCAATTGCAATATTTTGCAAAATTGCGCTATTAAGACACTTTCTGAAAGAATCTTCTATATCGTCAAGAAACAAATTAAAGATCCTTAAGTTCAATCTTGCTCTATTTTACCATTTCAACAATCTAAGGTACATCAAACTTCCTTTAGAAAATGAACTCTAAATAGATCATGTAATCTCTTGGAAGCACACCCAAAAACATGAACTCGCGCATGCGCGCATACACACATATGCTTTGGTTATGTTGTCTTCCTCCATAATAGCTTGAGATGTTTTAACATGCCAAGATGTCGACTTACTTGAGTTATTGAAGATCCAAAAAGTTTATTTCTTTGTAACAAGACCTAGAATCAAATTGTATGTACATTGATGATCAAGTTGGACTATACAACTGGCTTCGAATAGAAAACTGAAATAATCACCTACTGGTTACTTATTAAGTTTTTGATTGCATGATTATCTATCATTGAATTACACAAATAAATTATACTAAAATTGTTTCTTTGGCAGGTTAAGGCACCCCTTCTTTTCCTTTTGGGCGCTAAAGACCGTCGTGTTCCCATTTCTAATGGGTTGCAAGTAAGTAGTTACTTGCTTGGTTATTTTGTAAGAGAATGTATTTCTGTTGTTTTAGTTATTTATATAAATAGATTTCATACAATCATTATTTCCTTCTTAGGGATGTTGATGATAGGCTAACAAAAACTATTTACATCTTTGATGATTACATCTTGCATTATATTCATTAATTTGATAACAGGTTTTGACCCTCTGCAATTTAATTTGGCAATAATTGATCAACAAATATTCATAACAAAAGGATTATGATTAACAATAATAGCAGAAAAAAGATTATAATGAAGGTGAGCCTTAGCGGAACGGTAAGGTTGCTACATTGCTACTTGGAGGTCACAAGTTCGACTCTTGAAAACAACCTCTCTGCATATGGGGTAAGCCTGCGTGCATCTGACTGCTCCCCAAACCCCACAATGGTGGGAGCTTCGTGCACTTGGCCACCCTCTTTTTTGGCAAAAGGATTATGATATGGTGAAAAGTTGCTATTTAAATCCCTCTAAACTTTGATACACATATTAGTTAATGAAAATTCATAATACAATCCTAGAGGTGGGGTGGATAGGGTTTATGAAGTTCTTTATCTGGTATCCACTGGTTCACTGTAACCGCACAGTTAACTCCTCCAGAAATTTGGATGATCGAAAGAAAATCCCCTTAATATGACACTTATATGCACTCCTATATAAACACATATATGATTATTATATTGAAGTTGATGATTAAATTGAAAATTTGATGACAACTGACTAGAAATTAGTGATAATTGACTAATTAATACCTGTCACACCCTTAGATTAGGAAATGTCATGTCCCTAATCACCTATTTCTGTAACACTCCATATCATTACTCAAACTTAGTTATTGTCTCAGCTGTAACATATCTCCTTTAAAGTACCTATTTGTATTTTTCAGTATGCTCAGGGTTTGAAGGACAAAGGAGTAGAGGTCAAAGTGATTGTATTTCCAGAGGATGGTCACGTGAGGTTCAGGTCTGCTCGTGGAATCTTTGTTTGTTCTGCAGATATCAAGAGATGAGTATTCCTTAATCACATTTTTCTCTTTACATTGCAGGCCACAATCTGAATTCGAAAGCTTGGTCAATTTGGCTGTGTGGTTTAACAAGCATATTAAATGAAACATTCATAAACACACAGTATATTATGGTACCATTTCAAGATTTTTTTTTAAATTTATTCTAATTTTACAAGTAGCTTGAATTCACTATTCTGAGCCCAAACATGTGCATGTTATGATTTGCAAATCTTTCAGCATTTGGAACCTGAACTCACGTTTCCGAGGCTTTGCACCTCAACACCTAAAGCATGATAAAAGTTTGTAGCAATCGGAATGAGGTGATTATCATACCTGCTTCCTTCATCACTTAATTATCATTATTTCTGCCAGTAATATTTCATGAGCGAAGAATTCAAAACAATATCTGATGTTAGTATTTGTTTGTAAAAACAAGATAATCCCACATTGGATATTTGCGCATTCTTTTAGAGGTTTAAAAGCATTTAATGGTTATTTGGCTTTGATAAATAGGTCAAAGCATGGACTTCTAAACCCGCTTGCGGGTAGCGCGATTTTTGAATATATCCTTTCTTTATTACTGTTATTATTATTTTTAAATTTTTGAATTTTCAAAATGTCAACAGACACGTGACTGTTGGAAGAAGACTGTTGAAAAGTATCTGTTTTTTAATGGGGTGTTTTGAAAAGTTGCGACTATTGGAAACACATTTTCAAATCAATAAATACTTTATGATTTCAGACATCTAAATACACTTTTTTTCAAAACTTTTCTCTCAAAAAACATCTGCAATACTACAAACTTGTTTCACAACGAATTAGTGGAAAATTCCAGATTTTCTTGCTGTAATTTTTATTTCTGTTGTATCCTGAGAAGAAAATTTGCGTTAACCTGAAGCAACTTTGAATTTAAAATGAGGCAAATATTTCTTTAAGGAAAGTTTTTCACTCGATCCTCAGAAATTCTCTCCCCTTCATTATTTTACTAACATCTGAAGTAAGAATCAACTATATATTTTACCTTATTACATAAAGTATTGAACGCGTGAATTTGTTTTTACATGCAGATTCTCAACCTGCGTTTCTCTCATAATTCTATCAATATAGCCCTGCCGGCTATTGATTATCAAAAGAAACAACATTCCTATCAAAATAATTTAGAAGGAGCTTACTAGGATAAGTAATGCTGCAAAAATTGTTACGCAATCCTCTCCTGCGGTCTTCTTGTATTTATTTAGATTTCTGATTCATATCCACATAAAATTTGGTTGACAATGAAGTTTTAGCTTCCGGGTTGTTCCATACGCTCAAAAGCTGTGTTTGGAGCTTCTATCTCTTAGTTGTCAATTTTCTTCTTTGTCCTTCTACCGATTGATAGAGTTGAGCTACATATAATCCACTTAAATGGAGTTCTTTTTTTTCTATCTGCTAATTTGCTTTGAGATTCGTGATACATCAGTTGGATAGCAAGTTCCTAATATGTTTTTTAATTTGTTTTGGTAACATGTTATTGTGATTTCTAATCTGTTTTGGTAACATGATTCCAAATCTGTTTTGGTAACAGGTTATTAGGATTCCTAATATGTTTTGTTTTTTTTGTTTTAGAATTCCTAGTATGTTTATGATTTTAGGATTTCTATATATATGGAACAATTGGACGAGAGAATTGAGAAGAAAATTGGGGATATTTGGAGCACAGAAAAAAATGTATTTTCTGAGCTATTGGTTAGGGTTTTGTTTGGAGAGAATTAAAGATTTTTTTGATGAGATTAATTGGTGAGTTTGAGTGATTTGTAATCTCAGTTTGTACTCTTCTTCTCTATTAGTGAAAAACGCTATCCCCTTCTTGCCCCGTGGACGTAGGCAACTTGCCAAACCATGTGAAAATTGGTTGTTTGTGTTTGTGGCATTGATTTGGTTCGTTTAGCATTCTCTCGACTTTCGTTTGATTTGATTTCTCGTAGCACGTTGGTTTAGTTGTTTGGCTTCCGTAGCGCTCAACAAGTGGTATCAGAGCTCGGGCTACGCTTGGGCTATTTGAAAGAGTAGGTCATTTTGGAGGCTCGCCTAAGGCTTCGTTTGGTGATAAAGGTGGGATCTTTTTAGTAAAGACTCTATCCCTTTTAGTTTTGACTCTATTCTTCATTTATTCCGTATTTGTTTTGGTGCTTTGAGAAAGATGGTCGGGAAAGAAGGAGTTATGGAGGGTACTTCCGGTGTGAAGACCGTCCAAAATTTGAATATCCACTCTATGAAGATAGATATGGAGAAGTTTAATGGCACAAACAATTTTAGTCGAGATGTGAAGTCTTGGATGCGCTCAATGCGTAAAATTTGGAAGATACTTTAGGGTTGGACGGAAAATCGGACGGCATTGAGGAGAAGGTTTGAAAAAAGATGAATAGAACGGCGTGTGGTGTGATTAGATCTTGTTTGACTCAAGATTTAAAATATGATGTGATCAATGAGACTTTGGCTAAGAAGATTTGGGAGATCCTAGAGGGCAAGTATTTAACCAAGAGTGTAGAGAACCGCTTGCATTTGAAGAGGAGGCTTTATCGCTTCCAATTGAAGAAGGGGACCTCCATTGGTGATCATATGAACCACTACACGAAGCTTCTTGCGAATTTGGTGAATGTAGTTGTGATGATTAAAGATGAGGACAAGACGTTGTTGTTGTTGAGTTCATTGCTTGACGAGGAATATGAGACCTTCGTTCTTACTCTTATTAATGGGAAGACATCTCTTTCTTATAGTGAGGTCACCGCTGCACTTGTGAATTATCAGCTTCGAAAGAAGGATAATGAGACTTTAGTTGAGCCGGTAGCGGGGGCATTGGTCGCAAGAGTAAAGAGTCCAAACCGTGGTAGGAGGTCGCAGTCAAAAGGGCACATCTTGGAGTTCGTAGGAATCAGTGTGCCTTTTGTAAAGAGGATGGACAATGGAAAGCCGAATGCCCAAAGTTGGTTGATCGAGCCGGGAAGAATAAAGGGAAGCTATTCAAGCTTCAGAGGTGAATGTTATCAATGCTAGTGGCAATAATTCAGATTCAGATTCTTCGGGCTATTCGTTATCTGCACTACCGTCAATTTGTGTTGCCGACTCTACAGAGTGGATGTTAGATTCGGGTGCTTCTTACCATATTTGTCCTAGGAGAGATTGGTTCTCCAGCTTTTAGGAGTTAGAAAGAGGGGAGGTTGTGCTCATGGGTAAGATCATGAATGTCATATTGGTGGTATCGGTACCGTTTGGATTAGGATGAGGGACGGAGTGATTCGGGAGGTGGTTGGAGTGAGGTTCGTTCTTCAGTTGAAGAAGAATATCATTTCACTTGGAGTTTTGGAGGCAGCAGGCTATAGGGTGACCTCGGTCGATTCACGTTTGAAGGTCACATTGGGGTCCATGATTTTGATGAAGGGCGTCAGGAGGAATAATTTGTATTATTTGATTGGGAGCACGATGTTTGATAGAGAGCTGACGACTTCTTTAGATTTGGCTAGACTGTATCATTTGTTGAGGCTGGGTTATTTGATTGGTTATGTCATGTATGGTTTGTTGAGGAATGCTTTGACTTGCAGATTGAAGTCATTTGAGCATATTGGTATGAGCAAGAAGGCCGAGGTAGAGTTTGACACTTCTATCCATCGATCGAGGGGTCTTTTAGGTGGTGTTCAGTCGGGCATTTGGGGGCCTTCCAAGGAGGCATCATTGGGAGGTAATCGACATTTGGTTTCCGCAGTTAGGGATTGTTCTAGGCATTAGTGGGTTACAACCAGGTCCCATTGGTGTGAAGTCCTAGAAGTCAACAACAATTGAAAGAAGTATTTTGGCAGAAAGGTAACCCGTCGTTCTAGCTTTGGTAGGGGTTCTTTCTTGCATTTGTGCCGAGCTCATGGCTAGCTTTGGTAGGGGTTCTTTCTTGCATTTGTGCCGAGCTCATGGCAGTTTGAGACACTTCATTGATGTGGAGACATTAGGGCGACGAGATGAGGCATTTGTGCCGAGCTCATGGCAGTTTGAGACACTTCATTGATGTGGAGACATTAGGGCGACGAGATGAGGTGACAATTTTAATGGGTCGTTTCCTTACTGGAGGGGGATCGGCGTTGGTTGTCGAGCATAGGTTTTGGTTTTGGAGCTTCGACATATTTGGGTCATCTTGGTCATAGGCTGCCGATTGCTGCGTGTGGAGATTTTGGATTTGGTGGAGCTGCTTCACATTTTGGGTTGCGTCGGATATTTGGTTGCCCAACATTTGGTCACATCGAGGATGTGAGATTTTATCTGATTACACGTTTAGGATTCAGAGGTTCGTTTGATTATCAGTTAGGAGCTTCTGATTTTGTTCTGAGCAGATATATCACATTTCACTCTCGGCAGGTGGAGAGTGTTGATCAGATCATTGGGATATCGCAGCGGGTGGAGGGTGATGCTACTTCACATTGGGTGGAGATTACTCCACATACTCCAGATCATACTGCATCGTTTGGGATTCTAGCTGAGGTGACACAGTTTGGAGATCATTTGGATTTGGATGCATATGATGAGTTGGTTTTGGATTCGAGTGCATCTGGTGGACATGTTTTGGATACGGTCATTGGTTCACCTCAGGTGGAGGTGTTTGATTTGTTTCAGTTTGGGCCAATTGGGAGCGCTATCAGTTGCAGATCCGTTGGTGATATTGGTGAATAGTTGTATACTTTTCTATTTGATTGAGGGTCTTTGGAGGCCGTTTGGGTGAACTACGTGAAGGCTTGATTCCTTGGGCAAGAGGATACGTAGGCAGTCATTTATTATGTAGCCGGTTTGATGAGTTGATATCGACATTTGGAGTTTGTTCGCATTCTCGTTTGGGTTCTCGACTTGTTGTGTATTGAGTCCGTTGTCGTGGATTTGTTCCATTTCGTACTGGACGCAACAAGTGAGACGTTTGGTTGGTATTGGTGTCGGCTCAGTTTTGGGAAAACTTCGTCAAGGTGGAGAATTATTGGATTGCAGGTTCCTAATATGTTTCCTAATTTGTTTTGGTAACAGATATTGGGATTCCTAATCTGTTTTGGTAACATGATTCCAAATCTGTTTTGGTAACATGTTATTAGGATTCCTAATCTGTTTTGTTTTTTGTTTTAAAATTCCTAGTATGTTTATGATTTTAGGATTTCTATATATATAGAACAATTGGAAGAGAGAATTGAGAAGAAAATTGGGCATATTTGGAGCACAGAAAAAGATGTATTTTCTGAGCTATTGGTTAGAGTTTTGTTTGGAGAGAATTAGAGATTTGTTGGTGAGATTAATTGGTAAGTTTGAGTGATTTGTAATCTCAGTTTGTACTCTTCTTCTCTATTAGTGAAAAACTCTATCCACTTCTTGCCTCGTGGACGTAGACAACTTGTCGAATCACGTTAAAATTGGTTGTTTGTGTTTGTGACATTGATTTGGTTCGTTTAGTCTTCTCTCGACGTTCGTTTGATTTGATTTCTCATAGCACGTTGGTTTGGTTGTTTGGCTTTCGTAGCGCTCAACAACGTCAACATTATCTTGGAGATGTGTATCACACACCAATAAGAACAAGAAACTCAAAATAAAATCAATGGCTAAATGACATTTATATACCATAAATTTTGCCCGACCTAACATTTAAATACCATAACTTGTATTTGACGGTAAAAGAACACCACAAGATGTCTGCCCTTAGAATCCTTGTAATAGTGTTAATTTTTTATTCGTTTGGATGAAAATGCTCTTCCAGCTATATAACATCCTTAATTGTTAAAAAAAAGCTTCAAATCACTCATATTTTTACATTACTCCACAAAGAATGACTACCGTAGAGCTTCAATTTTGGATTTTGCCCAAATTTGGGGATAAAAACTCTGTTTGGGATATTTGTGAAGGGGCCTCATGTTCAAAAGTGGAGATTTGCAGTGGAATTGACCTAGGATTTTTGCATTTGGAGCTATTGTTAGTTAAAAACTTGATCTTTACCTTGTTTTCGGAGAAGTTTAGGTTGTGCTGGGGGTATATCAATTAAAAATTTAATGAACTTGAAATCCTTAAACTTGATTTCATGACTTCTGCAATGATTTTAGGACACGAGAGACACACACAGAGAATTTAGGAATTATGTTTAAATTTGAATGATAATTTTTTTAAAAAGGGCGAGGTTAGGTACAAACTATAAATAACACAATCAATGAGGTCAAAACACATTGGATTTGGTCATTTGAGAGTTGCGTGTAAATATTCTTTGGAATATTCCCCTGTGTAGCTAACAGATGGTAGTAATATGTTAATTTTTTTTAAACTTGTGTTTTTTTTTCGCCACCAAATACGAGTTGTGATATTTAATCCTAGGTAGGGCAAACTTTGTGTATTTAAGAGCCATTTAGCCTAAAATCAATAGATAAAAGCTAGGTGAATA